AAGAATTAAGGAATTGGATAACCCCGGCCTTTAATTCATTCTAAACATGAGAAGATTAACGAAACCTTAAAAAAAAACAAAGATAACAAAGCAAATAAAAAGAGCAAAAAATTAATATTTCCATATAATATTCTTAAAGAAAAAAAGACCCTTGAATTATTGAACAAAAATTAACTTCAAATACCCAAAAAATAACAAAACATAAGAAAAGTATAGATAGCATAACACAGTGGCGACGCGTGACTTGTAGTCTGGGGGGGGTAATGGGGTAATGGGATATGCGATCCCCGTTAACGCGCCGCAGGCGAAATTTTTTGCAAAGGACCCTGCCCAAAGTATACGGAATTTGTGTTTATGTCAGAATTGACTGAATTTTGTATATAATGTAGATCACGCCTTTCTGATTAAAAGTTACCATTGCACCAATCCTGGAAAATGACTCTACGTAGCACACCACTGCACCACAAGCTCACATATTCTACACCTATTCGTGATACATTGAACGTCCATTACAATGTCCAAGCGTTTTACTTGCTACCTATGAAATTAATTTTCTCAAAAAGGCGTCATTTTTCAGGATTGGTGCAATGGTAACTTTTAATCAGAAAGGCGTGATCTACAATTATGTACAAAATTCAGCCGATTCTGACATAATAGTCGGAGAGCCAGCGCCAAAAAAGTGCAAGAGTTTCATGAAAGCTGAAAATGTAATATAAGCTTGTATTTGTGATGTATATAACTATACTCGAGTCAGCAAGTGAGGTAGCGGGACAAGCTACGCCCACGCACCTTTGAATGTGTAAAAAAATAATCGCGATGAAAGAGTTTCATGACAGCTGAAAATCTCTCAATCGATTGTTTATTTGATAAAAAACATGACGCACATGGTCAGATAGCATTATGTTAGGACAACTAGAGTCAGCATGCCTATACAGGGTGGTCCATTTAAGTTGAGACAGTCTAATATCTCGAAAACGGTGCGTTTTTGAAAAAAAAAAGTTCAAATAAAAGTTACATGGTATCATGTGGGAAACAAAATGTACTGATTTTTGACTTTGACAACGTTTTCAAGGTTATTTCAAGGTCAACTCTTTTTTTTTCAATGGAAATATATTTTTTTATTACAGAATCTTATTCTACAGAAAAAAACAAGTAACTTTTACTTGAAGCATTTTTTGATCCGGTTTCAATTTAAGCTGATAAAAAAGAACGAATAATTTTTTTGTTTTCTCCTCACAAAATCGAACAGTAGAGAAAGGTTACCAAAAATACCTCAAAAACTATAATAATTGATCAAAATGTCGATCGCCAACTTCAACACACTTGTCAATTCACTTTAAAAATCAAACACACAGTTCATCAAGAGGTTCCCACAACACCGGATAATATGATGGAACACATAAGAAATGCTTAGAGCTGTCAGTAAAGAAACTGTAATTTGGTGCCATGAAAGCTTTTTACAGCGAATTAACAAGTGGGTTGAAGTTGGCTGTCGTCAATTTGATCAATTGTTATATTTTTTGAGGTATTTTTGGTAACCTTTCTCTACTTTTCGATTTTGTGAGGAGGAAAAAAAAATTATTCGTTCTTTTTTATCAGGTTAAATTGAAACCGGATCGAAAAATGCTTCAAGTAAAAGTTACTTGTTTTTTTCTGTAGAATAAGATTCTGTAATAAAAATATATATTTCCATTGAAAAAAAAGAGTTGACCTTGAAATAACCTTGAAAACGTTGTCAAAGTCAAAAATCAGGACCGCCATTTTGTTTCCCACATGATACCATGTAACTTTTATTTGAACTTTTTTTTTCAAAAACGCACCGTTTTCGAGATATTAGAATGTCTTAAGTTAAATGGACCACCCTGTATAGGCATGCTGACTCTAGTTGTCCTAACATAATGCTATCTGACCATGTGCGTCATGTTTTTTATCAAATAAAGAATGGATTGAGAGATTTTCAGCTGTCATGAAACTCTTTCATCGCGATTAGTTTTTTACACATTCAAAGGTGCGTGGGCGTAGCTTGTCCCGCTACCTCGCTTGCTGACTCGAGTATAGTTATATACATCACAAATACAAGCTTATATTACATTTTCAGCTTTCATGAAACTCTTGCACTTTTTTGGCGCTGGCTCTCGGACTATAAACACATTTTCCGTATACTTTGGGTAGGATCCTTTCAAGGTCATTCACTTTTCCAGAACAATTATTTCCTTTGTGAGGAAAATAAAACAAAAAAAAAATGTATTTTCTTCAATATTATTATGTATTTTCTTTTGATTTTTCCCTTGATTATCGGATCCTGGGGCGGGGGGGTAATTACCACTATTACCCCCCCCCCTCCGACGCGGGGCCCCTGGCATAACATGTTCCAATATAAAAAAAAGTTTCTTAACTGATAACGAAATTATTGTTTATGCACTTCAGGGATTAAAAGTACCCTTTTAATCCCTGTTTTAAGAGAGTAAAGTGAGTCTTTTAATCCCCGGGATTAAATTTCACTTTATTTCCCAGGAGATTAAATTTTTACTTCATTTCCCGGGGATTAAATTTTACTTTATTTCCCGGGGATTAAAAGTACCCTTTTATTCCCTATTTTATTTAATCTCCGGGAAATAAAGTAAATTGCATAAAATAGTGTATACACCTCAGGACTAAAGTGTTTTTTAATCCCTCGACAAATTATATTATAACTTTTTGTCTCGGGATTAAAAGTACCACTTTAGTCCCTAGGTGTATAATGTACTATTTTTTACTACTAACCTGAGAAATAGACATTATTCAATCTATTTTTCTAAGAAAAAGTTGAATTTCTCTCCCTAGGTTAATAATGAAAATAATGAAAAAATACCTAGGTCAATAATGAAAATGACGTCATGACTCAAGGATCATCTCATGTTTCTATTGGTTCAATTTCAATTTCATGCGTCAATTTGAAAAAAAAATACAGGTTTCTGTAGGTACATAGGAAGTTATATAAGCTGTTGATAGAGGGCACCACTTTCAAGAGGGCGTTCACAAAAAATAATTAGAACACAGATTTTAAACAAATTTTTTTATTTTCTACTAGCAGTAGTAAAAAAAATTCTATATATTCCTCGGTAGAGAAAGTCATTATATACCTCACTCATTATAAACCTCGGCGCTAGCGCCTCGGTTTATAAAAGCTTTTGGTATATAATGACCAACTTCTCTACCTAGGTATATAATATACTATTTTTTACTACTAACCTGAGAAATTGTCATTATTCAATATATTTTCCTAGGAAAAAATTGAATTTCTCTCCCTAGGTGAATAATGAAAATAATGAAAAAATACCTAGGTTAATAATGAAAATGACGTCATGACGCAAGGCTATTGTCATGTTTCTATTGGTTCAATTTCATTTTCATAGGTCAATTTGAAAAAAAATACAGGTTTCTGTAGGTACATAGGAAGTTATCATAAGCTGTTGATAGAGGGCAACACTTTCAAGAGGGCGTTCAAAAAAAAATAATTGGAGCACAGATTTTAAACAAATTTTTAATTTTTTACTAGCAGTAGTAAAAAAAATTCTATATATTCCTCGGTAGAGAAAGTCATTATATACCTCACTCATTATAAACCTCGGCGCTAGCGCCTCGGTTTATAAAAGCGCTCGGTATATAAGGACCAACTTCTCTACCTAGGTATATAATATACTATTATTTACGACTGACATATAATATAAGTATTAATTATATTTGTGACTTTGGCAGTATAATGCCATATATTATTCCCGCAGGGATTAATGGTCATTATTCCCACTTGCACACCAATCACAAAATTTCTCAAATTAAATAAGTAGTACCAAAAGTGTCAGTGTCAAACGCGTAGTGCTTGTGTATTGAGATGGATGAACAAAGAGCGTTTTTGTAAAGAAAATTTGAAATAAATTAATTTGTCGTAAATAAAGTAGAGTATACTACTCGCAATAATGGCTATTATTCCCTCGGAATGTTACTCCCTCGCCGCTAACGCGGCTTAGTTCGTAACTATTCCTCGGGAATAATAGCTATCATTATTGACTCGTGGTATAATCTACTATTAATAACATTCAGTTTTTGTTTTCGAGACTCTCGAAATTTCGAGAACCTCGAATCGAGATCGAGAAATTGCCTTCGAGAAAAACATCGAGACGAGATTTTGTTGATTTCACGTCTCGATGATCGAGACGAGACGAGAAATTGCCTTCGAGACGAGATTTCTCGTCTCGATGAAACCCTAAAAGTAATGACTTAAGGCCGCGTTAATGGCTGCCATGTTTAAATTTAGTTTCTGAAAATGACGTCTGCGTCACTGTACACATACGGTTCAATATTTTATTATTTGTCCAAAACAAAATCTGTTTGTCGGTGAAACACTTAGTGACAGAGAAAGACAAATATACAATTATGATGCTCCCAATGTAGCTTTTTTGCCGTGGCGCCATCTACTTGAAATTGCTTGAACTGTTTTCACCTTCAAAATTCGTTTTAAGGTCATCTCAATCCGCAATAATTTCCAAAATCCTTTGGCATAAACATTATCTGATATATTATCTACAATCTCTACAATTAGCTTTTATTAGTTTTTCATGGTTATCGATAAAATATGCTTTTCACGGATCCAAGCTTGATAAACATGCAAATATGCAACCTCCAACACATTTAATTGTTTTGGTGGTTGCGAACATGATTTTTGAATTAAAAAAAAAAGGCTGAATATCGAAAAATCAAAATGAGGAAATGTAGATAATCGATCCAATAATGTTTATGCCAAATTTGAGCCAATTCTGATGTGCCGTTTTTTTAAAGACCTTGAAACAAGTTTCGAAAAATCAACCAATCACAGTTTAAACATGGCGGCCATCAACGCGGCCTTTAATTCGATTATTTCGATTTAGACCACCGTCATTGTTCATACCAATATTCAGTACTTTAGTTTTCTATTTAGCCTTAAATTTGCCTTTTATCTTTAGTCGGTTCTTGCTATTTTGTAGACACAATCTGGAGGAGCATTGAATACCCCATACCCCTGGGAGCACAAGAGCAGCCGCACCAGCTCCAATCGTTCTAGAAGTAAACACCGTTAGGTATCGAAGTGGAAATTATGGAGGAAACCCAACAAGCAGAGCAGAAAGTAAGTGTGTAGTGTGTAATATCAAAGGCAATTTTTCTATAAATTCATGTCGTGTCCCCCGGAATGTGAAAAAAGTTGAGACTTGTTTGAAAAAAACTTTTTCTACGATTGCTCTAGAAAGCTATTGAAAACGCACTACTAACTTACCTAGAAAATCAATTATTCCGCACAGCGTGCGAAAAGTAACTTTTCACACGCTAAAATAAAAATAACACTTCTACTGAATTTTTGTTTTGCAAGTGACTCTGAGTGCATTCAACGTACGTACCAAAATAGTTCGTTGAATATAGCCTTAAATAATAATTTTTAACAAAAAAATAATAAATCTAGAAAGTAGAAAAAGTATAGTGTGTAACGCGTGTGAAAAGCACTTTTCAACACTTGTTGCACAATATACTATTTCCTACAACTTCCTCTGAAAATGGAGTTTTACACACGCTAGGCAACCTCTGAAAATCGAGTTTTTCACACAGCATGCGAAAAATATTTTTCTGGCCCTGTTTGTTATTCCCAATGCTTTTTTATCAGTCACATTGCCCACCTGACAGTTTATCAGAGGGTGAATAAACCGGCCCTAAAAAAATAAATATTAATGATAATTGATTATTAATTAATATCACTATTTGATGAGGAGGAGCCTTCAGAATCTGATGTCAAGCTGAAAAAACCACCCGCTTCTACTGACGGATTGCGCAATGACCAGCTTCTTGTCTGTAAAACTCCTACGCAAGATATTGAAAACGAAGAAATAGAGCCACAAAGAAAAGGAAGCAAAAGGAAACGGTCTACCATCGAAGAATATGACTTGGTTACGTTCGTGGGTGAGATTGGTGAAAAATCTGAGGAAGGTATGTAGGTATTGGAAAAGATTATTCGAGATAAAAAGAAATGCCGGAATTTTCTGAGCTCATATTTTTGTAAAGTTGTAAATAATGTCAATGTTGCAAACAGAAAAGAAGAAAGTAAAGTTTGAGTAGTATGCTGGATCTTTTTTTATATTTGAAATACTACGTTTGCTACTGCTACGTTGTAGCCGAGGTTGTAGCTGATTAATTAATTGGATAATGTATCTATTAATTTTAACAACTTTCTTTTTTGTTAATTTTAAAGGATTTCTTTATTGTTCTAAACACTGCCAGTAGGTAATTTTTCTATATTCCCCTTAAGCGAATTTACTTGAAGTGAACCTCGGCAATTTTGAAGTAAAATTCGTCTCCAATGACGACATGCCAGCGCCCCCAGTACTTCCAGGAGTCAATATTCCTGAAACCAAAGAGTTGTCTGATGAGAAGCCACTTGGACCGAAACCTGAAGATATTGAAGAATTATCTGAAAATGAGCGTTCTGTCGGTGGGGACAAAGAAATAGAGCGACAGGGAAAGGAGAGTAGGCAGATACTTTTTACTAGTGAAGATCAGAACATAAAGGATGAAGGTGGGTATATCGATAACTACATGTTTGAACTGAAACAATATTTCTTTCATGAAAAAATAATACTTATTAGGTTTGTTATATCTGATAGACGATGCTATTGTAACTTTTGACCTATGAGCGTCTACTAATGTTTTTCTGTTCAAAGAAAATCTCTGCAATTTTAAAGTAGAAAACGGCTCCGGCAACAAACTGCCAGCGTCCCCAGTAATTAAAATTCCTGAAATCAAAGAGGTGTCCGATGAAGAGCTACCAGAACCCAAACATGCCAAACTACGTGCCGATGAGCTTCCAGTATCTGACAATCCTGACAAGAATGGTAAAAACGAAGAAATGAAGTCGCAGAGAGAAAATGCACTTTTTTCTAATGAAGAATATGAGACAAAGAAAGAAGGTATGTGAATTAATGACTATTCTTGACATTCCCTTGTAGCTTTTATAATTCATACATGCCTACAAAAATTGTCCTGGTTTTTATTAAAGAGAACTTTTACTGATCAGTAATGACTTTAAGCCCATATATGTATTTCTAAAAAAAAAACGAAACCAATTTCTTGAATAAGACACATTAAACTACAGTTTTGCCATTAACATTTTCAACCCATAACGGTCCAGTTATAAAAAAAAAATTGCACAAAGTTAAATTGAGCAATTTTAAAGTGAAAAACCTCTCTGATCAAAATCTCCCAGTACACATTCTTCCCGAAACTGAAGAGGTGTCTGATGGAGAGCTACCAGAACCGAAACGTGCCGAATTACCAGCCGATACTGAAGTAGTGTCTGAAGACGAGCTTCCAAGCCCTAAACATTCTGAACAGGATGTTGCGGACGAAGAAATCATGTCGCTGAAAAAGGGGAGTAAACGGAAACTTTCTACTGATGGAGATTATAAGATAAAGAAAGAAGGTGACGTTATAATATTTTTTTTTGCGAATAAATTCTCTATTTATCAGCGCTTTAGTTATACAGGGCTTTCGTTATGCATTGGAATGGTACGCCCTTAATAAAAATGTACAATATATTTCCTATCTTGGCCTACCAGCCCCCCTATAAATCGTGAATACACATTATCACCATTTTTTCAAGCCGGTTCTGAAATACTAGACCGTTTCCATACATTTCAACAAAAAAATTGTGTTGTAACATTTTCATTAACAAGTCAAATTGGTGTTTGGCATTCGGGGATTTAAGTAATGTTGGGACGCAACATTGCAAATACCACTATCAAATCGGGCCTTTCCAAAAAGCCTCTGGGACCTGGGTAGGAAATATTATTCATTTTTCTTAAGCGCTTCCTAAAATATTACCTAGGCCATGTCCATACCTATATAACGAGAACCCTGTGTTTTACGTGGCTCGTAAATGGGTTCATTGCTTCTTTCAATTTATTTCACAACAATTTCTCATTCATGTTAGGTGATGGTCGGAGAATAAAACAAAAAATATTACCTAAATCGGATAGATATTGGAAAGCAGTCAATAAGGATCCCAGGGATTTTACTGCCTGGTCTTATCTGTTGCAATTCGTAGATTATGATGTAAGTATTTTCATTGGTGCATTTTCCTCAATAAGTATAAACCATGAATAAATTCTTGAATTTTCTTAGAACGACGATAAAGGAGCAAGGGAAGCCTATGAAGCCTTTCTATCTCTCTATCCATACTGCTTTGGCTATTGGCGCCGATACGCTGACTACGAAAAAAACAACGGCAACAAAAAAGAGTGCGAAGAGGTAAACACCTTTTTGAAATTTACTATGTTAATAACTCATATTTTTGGAGCAGTTCTGAATCGTCAAATTTTTATTTCCTATCAAAATCAAACAGAAACTCAATATTGATTTTTGAATCTGAAAGCAATGTTGGTATAGGCAATATTATCCTTTCCCATCGCATTATCAGCCAGAAGTGCCTTCAAAGTGCGAGAAATCTAGTTCCTATGTTTAACTCGACTTTTTAGGTATTAGAACGCGGCCTTAAAGCTATTCCGCTTTCTGTGGATTTATGGATTCACTATTTGTCTTACGTCAAGAACTCCAGAGAAAAGGATGAAGAATATTTGAGGTAATCCTATTATGACTAATATATTTATCACCTTTTATGTACAGGGTGGGCCAAATTGAACACTTTCTTATGGAAACACCCTTTATTTTTGGGGATAGAAAAAAATGGACCCCCCACTCTGAGGCTCAAATTTAATGAAATCTTGATTGGTGCAAACCGCATTTTGATATCTATAACCGTTAAGCCGCTAGAGGGCGATTCTCGATTTCTAGCAATAGTGTAAAGCCTCCATAACTTTTTTATTTATGAAAATAATTTATTTCCGTAAAGACCTTTTGGAAGCACTTTTTTAAGCAGAATTCAGTGACGTTCTCAGTTTTTTTCTGTCTGGCTTCAATTTCGAGATATTGACCAAAATCCGATTTTTTTCAATGGGATACCCTATATATTAATAGCTCATTAGAAAACTATGCTTTCGCTGATTTCAATGATATAAAATTTGATAGGTTTATCTCTAACAGATTTCGAGAAAAAAAATATCGGTTTTTGTCATAAGAAACAATGTGTTGGAAAAGAACTTTATCTCTGTAAGGAAACTGAGAAAGGTCTCTTTCTAACACATTGTTTCTTATGACAAAAATCGAAATATTTTTTTTTTTTCCAGAAAACCGTTAGAGATAAACCTATCGAATCCTATATCATTGAAATCAGCAAAAATAGAGCTTTTTAATGAGCTATTAATATATAGGGTATCCCATTGAAAAAAATCGGATTTTGGTCAATGTCTCGAAATTGAAGCCAGACAGAAAAAAACTGAGACGTCACTGAATTCTGCTTAAAAAAGTGCTTCCAAAAGGTCTGTACGGAAATAAATTATTTTTATAAACAAAAAAGTTATGGAGGCTTTACAGTATTGCTCAAAATCGAGAATCGCCCTCTAGCGGCTAAACGGTTGAAGATATCAAAATGCGGTTTGCACCAATCAAGATTTCATGAAATTTGAGTCTCAGAGTGGGGGGTCCATTTTTTTCTATCCCCAAAAATAAAGGGTGTTTCCATAAGAAAGTTTCCAATTTGGCCCACCCTGTACATTGATACATTATTAAATACCTGGTATTGTATTATCGTCATCCAAGTGGGTGTTTTTTACAGTTATAACATTGGTAGAAACTACAAAGGATAAGTTTTTGTATTTTGGAGCCGTGTTCCAGGGGGCGGATTACGAACTCTCGATTCGAACCGAAACCGCCATGGATTTCGAACGCATTCTGATGCATTCGCATGGAGTGCGTTCGAAATCCATGGCGGTTTCGGTTCGAATCGAGAGTTCGTAATCCGCCCCCAGGTCTGCCAGTGATGGCGCTTAAAGTGTCGCGTTGGTTGAAAAATTAAGGCCCAGTTGTAAAAAAAAAATAGGTACAATCGTGGTTCAAAACAGAGTTCACCTAGAGTTCACCTGAACTCTACTGGTACTTAAACTTCCCCATTTGAAATGCATTGCTGTCAAAATTGATAGAATTTGATCATTAGCTAACAGCAATGTAATTTAAATGGGAAAACTGAATTGCCAGCTAGGGAATAGGAAGGTTCGACATTTTTTGTTATTCTTTTATTTAAACTGAAATCAAGAGATTTTATTATTGAAAACGGATCAACAAAAATTTGAGCGCAAAATATTAATATTTGCGTTTGTTGCGAGCAGTTAAAAATCAACGATCGGCGCCAGGATAAAAAACGTACCTCTACGCGAGACTAGGCTGCGTGACGTCAGTAGCCAGATACGCCACTTGAATTCGTATACTCTCCGTACAGGCTTTTACGCAAACGTTGATCCGATTAACCCAATCACCACCCTATGTAATTTGTCTTTTTTCAATTGTGCTCATTGAAGAAAGATGAAAAACAAAGAGCTTGTGATCGGATCAGCGTTTCCGTAAAGGCCTATACGAAAAGTATACGAATTCACATGGCGTGTCTGGCTACTGACGTCACGCGGCCTAGTCTCGCGTACAGGTATATTTTTTATTCTACGCCGATCGTTGATTTTAGGCTTAAAACACACAAAGCCGTTTCTGCCGAGTCGGCACCGATTCGGCGGAGGAGCGGCTCGTGTTACCGCGTCTGGCGGATCAACTAATTGAAAAATGCATAATGTCGCTGTTGCCAGTTGTCTGCGTACAGTCACACCGTACGCAATGTCGTCTTCAGCCGGAGTCTCATGCATTTGTTTTCCGACGTCCGATGTCCGAAAAACCTTCTATTCTGATAATATTTGTATACGATTATGTCAGAATAAAAGGTTTTTCGGATGTCGGACGTCGGAAAACGGATGCATTTTTTTTTTTTTTTTTTTTTTACGGATATGCGCATTCGCAAGGAAATGTCCTATCACGCTCGAGAAGCGGCAAGTGCGCGGAAATGTCGGTGTATGTTGGTCTTGAAACGGTTCAGGTTGTAACCTGCAGGGAAAACCGTCGCAGGGAGTTTATTCCACAGCGATGCTGTTCTCCAGAGATATGAATTCTGATATAATGAGGTTCTTGGTGCCTCTAGTTTGACAGTAAATTCATGGTTACCGTCTGTTTGACGGGTTCGCCTGGTAGGTGCTACTCTCGGTGGAATCATACGTGCCAACTCTTCAGAGCATTTTCCGTGATAGTACCTGTAGAAGAGAGATAAATCGCCCACAGATCTGCGATGTTCGAGACCATCCAAGTTACGAGTAAGTGCGGGGTCATTGATCAACTTGATAGCTCGTTTTTGCACGGTATTCAAAAGCATTAAGGTATGTTTGGGTGCTGCGCTCCATATATGTGAGCAGTACTCCATAGTTGGTCGAATCTGGGCTTTGTAGAGTGTCAGCAATTGGCTTGGTGTGTACAGATGTCTTGTACGAAATAGCACCCCCAGCTTTTGGGAGGCCCTTTTAGCAATATCTGCCACGTGACTGTGCCAAGACATGTTGGTCTCTGCAGTAACCCCCAAGATGTTCAACTGACTCTGTAATGTGACAGCACTTCCAGATAGCATGATGTTTGGCTCACCGGTGGTGTTCTTTTTTGAAAACAGAGCTGCTTGGGTTTTCTGTGCGTTGAACTGTACAAGGTTTTTGTTACCCCAGTCCTCTATTATCTCCAGGTCGTTATTTATCTGCGATATTTGAGTTAGTCTAAGATGATGGAATTCACGTGCGGAAAGACCTGTGGGTGGTATGAGTGAGGAGACTACATTGCCATCGTCTGCAAAGCAATAAACTGGATTTACTGTTTTATCTATGAGGTCATTTATGTAAATCAGGAAAAGAGTTGGCGAAAGGATTGCTCCCTGTGGCACACCAGCATTTATTTGGTAAGAGTTGGAGTTCTGGCCATCCAGTGCAACATAAATGGATCTGTCCTTTAGGTAACTTTCAAACCAAGTGCAAAGTTTCGGCGATAATCCCATTGCTTTGAGCTTGTTGAGCAGATTTTCATGCCAAACTTTGTCGAATGCTTTAGATATATCTAAGGCAATTGTTCTTGTTTCACCCCGCAACTCAATCGCTTTTTGCCATAAGTGAGTGACGTATGTAAGTAAATCGCCAGTTGATCTATATTTTCGAAATCCGTATTGCTTATCGTTGATAATTTTGTACTTTTCCAAGTACTTGGTTAGGTGATTGTTCAGAACTCTTTCCATTACTTTTGATATCACCGGAAGTAGGGCAATTGGTCTATAGTTTAACGGATCTGTCTTTTTTCCTTTCTTTGGAATGGGTTGTACTGCGGCAGACTTCCATGATGATGGATATACTCCTTGCCTGTAAGACAAATTGAATAATTTTGCGAAAGTTGGGGTAAGTTCGTTGGCGCAATTTTTGAGTACTATTGCGGGAATGCCATCCGGACCCATTGCTTTGTTTGTATCCAGCTTTTTTAGGGATTTTCGTATTTCTCTGTGACAAAAGGGTACCTCTGGCATACTATGGGAAATCCTTTCAATGAACGGTGGAGTTTTTCCGTTTGGCACTGTGAGGTTGGAGTTGGAGGAAAACATTTGGGCAAGCATATTGGCTTTTTCCTCTGATGTTGTGGCTAAGTGATTATTTTTATCTGTAAGTGGTGGTATGGATGACTTGGTGAAGTTAGATCCAACAGCTTTTGCAAGAGACCAAAAAGACCTAGAACTACTTGGACAATTCAGCAACCTGTTTTTTATTCTTTGATTGTATGTTTCTTTAGCGGAGTCAATAGTAATTTTGCAACTATTTCTGGCTTCTATAAATTCTGTGTGTTTTTGAGCGGTTTGTTGTCGTTTCCAAAGGTTATATGCTCTCTGTTTTTTCTGTACAGCCGTTTGACACTGGCTGTTGAACCAAGGTTTTGCATTAGCTCTACGTTTAGTTGTATGTGGGATATATGCGTCCATTCCAGATAAGATTACTTGTGTTATTTCATTACAGCAAATAGTGGGATCAGCTGTTTTAAAGCAAACCTCTTGCCATGGAAAATCCAGGTAATACTGTTTTAGGTCATTCCATTTTGCCGATTTATAGTGCCACATTTTACGAGGAAGTGGTTGTAGGCTTGGTGGGATGAGCATTTCGCACTTTGTTATTATAAGTTTATGATCGGACGAACCAAGTGGAGTATCTACTTGAATTGTGTACGAGTCAGGATTGGTGGTTAGGAACAAGTCTAAAAGCGCTGCAAATTGGCCCTTTTCTGAGATACGGGTAGGTTCATCGACAAGCTGCGTTAGACCACAACTTATGGCAAAAGCTTCTGCTTCTCTGCCTTCGTTATCTGTTTTGTTGTGGTGTTTCAGCCAGGGTATATTGTGGACGTTGAAATCGCCTAAAAAGACAATTTCCGCCTGTGGATAGTTTGACTGTATACTATCACAGCTTTCGGATAATGTCGCGAAAAAGTTTTGGTAATCGGTGTTACTTGGCGGTCGGTAGAGGCAGCAGATAAACTTGGTCAATGACTTTGAGGTGAATTTTAGCCATATGATATCAAGGTTCGCTGGTTCTAGCTTCTCCTCTCGATGACATGAAAGGTCATTTTTAATGTACACACAGATCCCAAAATTATGTCGAAATCGGTGATGTAGGTCATAGCCGGGATAAAGATAGTTCACAATAGGTGTTGCAGAACTGATTTTAGTTTCAGTGAGAACAAGGATGTCAGGTCTTTGTTCTTCAAGATGTTGGTGAACTGAATTCATATTTGTACTTATTCCTCTTATATTGCTAAAATCAATTCTGAGTTGAGTTTTTGATCTTCTCTTTATATCTTTGCATGAAGGACCCCCAGGATCACCCGACGCCCGGAGATCCGAGTGGTCGGGTATTTTACCTCCGGAATATTTTGATCCTGGAGGCGCCATCATGCTATCTGTTACTCATTGTTGGAACCGGACTGCCAGCGCAGTAGCGGAACGTGGTGATACCACTTATGAGGCATGAGACATTGGCCTTCTAGTGATGACGATTTTTTTTTGAATTTTGTTAGAATATTCCTCTTAGCACATATCCCGAATCGCTGGCCTTAATGAAGTTAATTAGTTAGCCTCTTAAACGTTCAAATTTTCTATAATTTTATTCTAACTGGCAACACTAATGTTCAGGAAAATTTAAAAACCGTCTGGTTCAGACAATAGAAGTGTCATAAACGGCAAAAACCGCTCCATGTGTTTCAGTGTGCAAACACAGTGCAAGCAGGTTTCCGCTTACCAGTAACCAGCGCCGACTCGCGCTTATAAGCCCGAAAAATGAATGCATGTTCTCAAATCGGTTAGAACACAGTAAAAACCGAAGAAGCACTCCCATGTTGGGACAATACCTGTGATTTATTGGCCCAAGTCAGATTTTCTATGTTGTCCTAATCAAAGATGTGAACATTTTGCAATCTTTGTCCAAGAACGTATGTCAATATATACCCAAAAACAAATAAGGTTCGTTTCACCAGGGTTCATACTTGACCTTGAAACTTGAAAAAAAAAGGGTTGTCGTAGATTAATTCATATGACACATTCAATTTTTTTGACAAATTGAAATGAATGACTTCTGGTTTAAGAACCGACAAACGTTATTGACGTTATTGATTTCTTTCAGCCAATTTTTATCTGTTAAACAAGGAAGGCAAATGCTGGTGGCAAGTACAAACCCTGGCGAAACAAACTGTACCAATTTTGGTACAATAACGTTACCAAATATTGGCCCAGAAAAAATTATCATTATATCAAGAACTTTATGCAATATAGAGCCAATTAAAATTACCAATATTATTGGCCGAAAGACGTATGTAAACCTTGGCTTGACCAATTATAAGGATCGATTGAGAAGTGTTTTCTCTTTGCCGGACCATCCGTGGACGCGTTTCGGTGTATCACAGCTCATAAGCACGGTTAGGTCCCGCCATAGTTCTGTTAACCGAATATTGGCTGAAACCTGAAGAACCATTATATAATCCTGAGTATTTCATCGTTTTAAAATTTTGCAGATCAAATGCCCAACACGGAGGCACAGTTGCTCTAGTGTATGAGTGCATTTCAGAGTGTTTTTCTGCCTTTGATAAGTTCGATGACTTTGAAGAGCAGTTTGAATTTTCAATTATTAATTCCATAAAATTTAAATTATTTGTAGTCTGTATGTATCGTTCTCCGGATGTAATGTAAATGTTTTCTCGAAAGACTGGAGGTGCCTCTCTTTAAATTCCCATCAAATCATAAAATCGTGCTTGCCGGTGATCTTACTATAAATTTTGAGGATAAGGACAACAGGGCCACTCATAACTTGTCAAACTTGTTCGAGTCCTTTAATCTCAATATGCTTGTCTATAGTCCTACAAGGGTAACACAAACCTCTTCCACTACGATAGATTACATCGTCTCTAGCATTCATGAAAATGTCTCTTGTGATGTCTTTGACTCGGGTCTTTTTTATCATAATACCGTTATCGCCAAGATACCAATGCGCTCACTTACATCATCTGAGGCTGAAAGCTTTGGAAGAATTTATAAATCCCGCAATTTTGCCAGCTTTCGCGCTGCCTGTGTCACTTTCAATTGGACTTCTACTCTTCAGAGGGCAGACCCTTTGCTGGCTTTCCGCACGGCTTTGGTCGACATTGTTAATGTTTCCTTCCCTGTGCGCAGGATAAGGCCGAAACGCAAAGACCACAAAAAGTGGTTAACACTGGGAATCCGCACTTTCGCTTCCAATATACGTTTTCTAAACAGCCTCAGAAAATCTTATACTAACAACCCATGGATTCAGTCGTACTACTCAACATACAGGAAAATCTATAGAGCGATCATTTGTAAGGCAAAAAACCTTTATTATTCTAAACGCCTTACAAACTCTCATAACAAGCAACGCGAATCATGGCATGGGCAATCGTAAACGAAATTAATAATAAAGTCAAAAAAACATCAAAGATCAACATTGACGGAAATCTCCTCAATAGTTATTATTGTTCCATAGGCAACATTATAACAAAAGACCTTAGCTCTCAAATAGATCCGCTCTCCTATCTTTTCTGATATTAGCATTCCTGAATCCCTGAAGATGTTTGTTCCAACTACCCCTCACGAACTTAGGCAAACGATTAACTCAATGAAAAACAAGAGAGCAGCAAATGACGATGGTATCTCTATCAAGATATTTGAGTCGTTACCGCTTAATGCAATCTCAGTTCTGTCCAATGTTATCAATGCATCCTTCCTATCTGGGCCTGTTCCAACTTGTTTTAAATCTGCTAAAATCATTCCTTTATACAAGGGAGGTGATCACAACTGCCCTTCGAACTACAGGTAGAAAGGTTTCATGTGGAGTTCCACAGGGATCAGTGTTGGGCCCAGTTCTGTTTTTAATTTATATTAATGATCTCGGCCAACTGGATATCACAGGGCACTTTACTTTGTTCGCGGACGACACCACCGAACTATAGCAAAACAAGAACCCGAGTCAGCTCCTCTACCACATTTCATCCGATTTTAAAAAAATAAAGTACTGGTGCGATGCAAATCGTCTGTGTCTGAACATGTCAAAGACGCATCTCATTGGCTTCAATTGCACAGTGGATGATCTGGCTTTGGACAATGAGTCTGTGAGTTCTGTTGAAAAATCGAAATTCTTAGGCTTACTTATTGATGAAGATCTAAAATTCTACCCCTACATAATGGCGCTTAATAAAAAACTGTCATCTGGTTGTTAGTTGGAAAGGAGGTCGCCCGCAATGTTCGCATTAGTGGTGTCCCATCTAAGATATGCTATTCCTTTCTGGGGTGCGTGCTCCAATTACCTCTTCCAATTTGTTTTTGTTCCCCAGAAACGAGCAGTCAGAAATTTATCTAATGCACTTCCAAGAGCTCACTGCAAGCCGCTCTTCATCGCAAACAAAATCCTAACGCTTCCTTCACTATTCATTTTGGAGACTGCATGTCTCATTCATAAACAGAAGCATACGTTTCTAACACATCAACACAGACATGCTACACGTCAAGGTAATCAAATTCCACTTCCAATACCACATTCAGCCCTTGTCAAGAATTCACTCCTTTACAATGGTGTTAAGATTTACAACTGCATTGATCTGCAAATTAGAAATACTGATGATCACAAACTTTTTCGCACATGTCTTAAGAGCTTTTTAAACAAAAAAGCATATTACTCTACTGGTGAGTTTCTAATGGATCCAAGTTAAATTTTTGGTGGTTTACATTTTTTAATTATTATTATTATTTTTTTATTGTTACTTTTTTTGACAAGTTCTTTGAACACAGTAGATAAGTATTCTTTTTATTTCTTATTTTATTATTATTTTATTTTTTTTCTTGTTTGTTTATTTTAATTTTTTTTTTTTGTGTTTCTGCTCTTTTTAGATGTACACAGTACACAGAGCAGATGTCTGCTGAAAAATGTTAGTGATAATTTAAAGCAAAGAGTATTTTTATTTATATTTTATTTTGATTTTAATTTCAATTTAACGTAGTTTAGATAGCTTTGTCAATAAGAATGTACTAGTTTTTGGACAATAAAGCACTTTTTCAATTCAATTCAATTTAATAAAGAACTACTTGACGTAGTGTTTTCAATTATCGTTCTGACGATATTACAATAATGTTTCTCTAATGTCTCAGATTACAATTTGAGAGAGCGCTTACTGCCTGTAGTCTAGATTTCCGTTCTGACTCCTTATGGGAACTATACATTAAATGGGAATTTGAAGAAAAACGCTTCCAAAAAGTCACTGCCATCTTCGACAGACTACTAGCTACGCCAACTCTAGGCTACACCTCGCATTTCGACAACTTCCAAGAGTACGTGGCTTCGAACGCGCCTAACCAAATTTTGGACGAGAACGAGATTATGGATATGCGCACAGAGGTACGCATCATCTTAAAAATTAGAGAGAACCTAGTGGATAATGCAGATATACCACCTGGCGACGAAGACGCGAAATTCTACACGTAAGATTTTTGTGTTTGATTAGTTTTTGACAATTTTGCAATGGTAATACGTGTAGGGACTTTTCCACAATTCACGAAGATATTTTATATTAAAAAACGTATTTATAGGTAAAAATAGGCTTAATCAGATAGATATAAGTCGGAAAATCTCACTCGGTTTTGCTTAGGAAAATTCAGTAAGTAGGTACCGTACCTGCTTATCTAAAGAAGTTGATTTTCACAGGAATGAAAAAGAATCGAAAGCTCTAAAAGAACATATTGTATCCACTCGAAGGAAGGCGTTTGTCACTACCGTTAACGCTGTTAAAGCTCGTTGGGAGTTCGAGCAAGGGGTAAGTTTTACACACGACTTTGTTATGACTTCGTCATCTGGAAAAAAATAATGTGTTCTTAACTGTTCATCGTGAGAACAATAGCGCAGATGGTGAGCCAGACATCTACGAGCGTTTGATTGTGATCTGATCTCTTCACCAATTCAAGTTTTTTTTGTATCTTCTCCGATAGCTATCTTTTCAGACACTCATTTATTTTGTTGACCCAAATTTTCTGTAATTTACTGGCATCAGTTTCCATTAGTTCGCCTCTTTTAGTCGGTCTCGTTCTCCTTCTATTTTCACATTTTTTCTGTACATGTAGTCGCAGATGTTATGATGCAATGGGGTTAATATGGTAGTTTCTACAGATGTTCATTTGTTCATGCTTTTCTTGGAACAGCGAAAAATTGCATCAATTCTCGTAGAGCTTAGGGATGCTACTACATTGATTGGTCCATTGAGGTAGAATTGGTCACAGCACAGTACGTGGTACCTATTCCTTTAATTTATCAACAGAAAATTTGGCTACAGTATGTTTAATAAAACTTAGCTAAACATATCGTGTTTTTTATTCAATAAAATAGTGGCCAGCGACTATGATGTATGTATTTAACAATTTTTCTGTGAAATAATCAAGTAACCATTCCAGATCAAACGACCTTATTTCCATATCAAACCACTTGAACGATGTCAATTGAAGAACTGGGAAGATTATTTGGACTACGAAATTCAGCAAGGAGACACACAACGAATAATCGTTTTATTCGAAAGATGTTTGATCGCATGCGCACTTTATGAAGGCTTCTGGCTGAAATACATAAGTTTTTTGGAAAAATTACCAGACGCTGACGTGCAAAAACGCATTCGTGACGTATACGAGAGGTCCTGCACGATATATCACCAGAAAAATCCGAATTTGCATTTGGCGTGGGCTAATTTTGAGGAGGCCTGTGCCGATTTTACCCGCGCAGCTGAAATATTGCTTAAAATTGATTCCCAAGTGCCCGACTTATTGCGTGTTGCTTATGCGAGGTAATAATTTGTTCGTAATTTACGAATGGCATAATTTTTTTTTTTTTTTTTTTAGAATAAATCTGGAAAGGAGACGAGGCAATTTTGATAAATGCGCTGAGTTTTTTGAGCATTATATTTCGAATTCTGAAAATAAATTTATTTCCAGTAATATTTCGGTTAGATACTCTCGGTTTTGCTTGATATTGCTCGAGGATGTTGTAAAAGCTCAAGATGTAAGTAGATTGAGGAAAAAATATATTATTTTTCAAAACATTTTTCACTATTTCTTGACAAATTTCTTTGATAATTATTTCACCGATAGGTATTGAAAGCAGCTATCACAAAAGATCCAGACAACCCGCGCCTTTATCTGATGCTTGTTGATTTTATTTTGCAAAAGAAAGAATTCCGCGAAGAGGAAGTTTTGAACATCTTTGATCAGTTTTTGGATAGAGAGTGCGTCGATCTTTGCCAAAAGGTACAACCAATTTTCTATGACCATTAAAAAAAAATATGTATTCAAGACATTTTTCATCCGTGCAAATGAAAAAATATATAATTTTTTTGGTTTTAGACCCTTTTTGCCCGAAGGAAACTTGAGTTTATTGAAGATTTCAGTGCCAACGTGAAATTAGTAGAAGTCGCAAGGAAGCAATATAAAAAATTTCAAAAATTAACGAATCAAACTTCAACTGAAAAAGAGTTGAATAGCAAGATAGAGAAAAAGGAAAGCCAATCTAATTTACAGTGGCAACCGTACACTGACAATAATTATGGAAATCTCCCCTTGAACAGTCAGCCTCCCTATCATATTTATGGATTGCAGCAGGGAGAATATATTGATTCACAATATGGACAAGGTAACAAACATTTAGAACAAAGTAACTTTTACTCAGCATCTTTTCTCCAATGCCTTCAACTCGTAAATAATAAAGTTCGTGAATGTAGAACTTAGGAATTTCGTATAGTCTAATACCTACATCCTCACAATGGCTTGTAATATTTCAGAAAAAAATGTTTGTCAATATGTTACCTGATTTAAATTATATCTGATTCTAATCAGCTACACAATAGCTACTTACGAAAACATTGATCCAGGATCAGTTCGATCAGTATCAGCTGTTCAATGATAAGTAACTATCTAGGTGGACCTAGTTTAGTTTCCGAACGGATGGATCAGCAGATGAATCTTGCCGCTTGCCAAATGACACCTCCCAACAATCCTAACTTCAACAAAAAATATTTTGATTTTGATCTCAAGCTCTCGAATTTCCATTTTCTTGGCTTCTTGCTGTTGAAGATGTCTTCCGCAATTATTTCAAAGGCAAAACAATCAACAAACAACTAAAAAGTTAGGTTGAAGAAAACACCTGACGGCTACCAATCCTATTCACCTCGCATTTTATCAGGGTCGATAAAATCCAAACATATGATACTGAACCGAACAAGCTGATCACGTTCCGTATAAGAGTGAACTGATCCTAGATACCTTTCCGTACGTCGAGATTCGTTATCCTTGAGATCGGGTTAACCCGACCATAATTTTCGTAAGCAGCTTGTCTGTTTGTTAGAAGCCACTACTTCACAAAAAATAACCGTCTCACACAATGACATATTAACATAGATAGACATCGCATTTCATTCATAAATTGATGTTTGTTATGATGACAAGACCCCCATGGGCCAGGAGAGGTGAGCTGCTCGAGGGGGGTCATGGTAGGGATGCCTCAGTGGCGTCATTCAGTTGACATAAATAATGAAGAAATGTGCACGTGTGACGGAACTAGCTATTGCCCCTTTTTGGGCTTTAGTCAAACCGCACCAGGGATGCCAAAAGTTTTTTACTTTGACTTACTGTAAAAATTAATCACTAGATATTGGATCATTCAAGCCTTGCATTGGGTTGCCTTGATTCTCATTTATAGAAATAAAACGCTGAAATAGAATAGTTATCAATTAAATTAATAAATGGAAGTAATTCGGTATAGATCAATCAAATCCTATCTAAAAATTCCTAATTGGACGTCCAGTCGAACTACAAATTTTTTACTAATCTAGAGTAATCTTGATTTATAAAAAGTAGGGAAATCTGATATTAATAATAATATCATTAATGGTTAAATGTTCAATGAACGAGAACAGAAATTAACTAATTAAATGCACGAGAGCACAACATAAATAATTCGTCAACTTCAATGTTCACTGTAATCACAAAATATTTATTGATCCTTGAAAGTTCTTTTATTTATTGAGAGTTAACAATTTGAGCAATTTTCTGCTGAAGTCTGTAAACAATATGTGCAAGAAAAGTCTTTATATATGCTCAGTTTCTATATACAAATGTACAAATGTTAATTTCACAAGTGTGAAAACCAAATTTCTGCATTAAACGTTAGAAAACACTTCAATTTATAGTGCATTTCAAGCGAATCACTAATCATTATTTATTGTTCGACTGTTAGAGAAATTGTAACGGTCCTACTTGCTAAATCCGGTTCATGCCGATAAACCAAAAAGGCGATTATTTATCCATTTATCACCACTATTCACACTGGCAGCTAGGGAATTTTCCACTGAGATGAAAAGAAAACACAACGATATACAGATGCGTTGGAGCCCGTCGAGAGTGAGAGAGAGCCAAAAGAAAATCGCGTGGGAGAGAATTTTGCTCGTCCTCCGAGGTGACTTGCAACAATTAGGGGTTAATTACATGAATTGTAATCAATAATATCGACCATGTCAGGCCTTGAGACACAGAGAGTAGTATTTTACTATAAATCGCGCGAACAAACGGGGGTTTTTGGGGGTTTTGCCTCTGGAGAGCATTCAGAGGGCGCGAGGGTGCGAACTCTTGGCTTATTCTAATAGTACTGAAGAATGTGCGTCGACTAGACTCTGCCAGGGAGCAGGTCGCAAAAAACTAGGGATTTTGTGTGGCGGCTGACCAATCATACGGCGAGAAAGATTCACTGCCTTATAAGGTATTGAAGAAACCTGTAATTTTACCGGTTTGAAGGGTTGTTGTTGCCGGTTTCACAGGATAAATAGTCCACCAATAGCATCTATTTATAGAATATTATTTTTATGGTAAATAATAGAGATCGAGATAAATTAAATTAGAAATAATAAAATTTAAACTTGTTGTGGGTTATTTCCGCAACAGCACGGGTGCAACTCGTTTAACTATCTTTCTGCCTCTAACTCATATGATATAAGTTTGATGGGCGGTTGACATGCCAATCGATAGCAGTGTGTGTTCCGCCTGTCTTACAAAACCGGCGTTGCCAGTAGTCGTTTTCACTCTGGAAGCTCCAACTTTTTTAAGTCATAACAGCATAAAATATCAATCTGTAACAATTTGGCAACCAAATTGCAGAGGATACACCGGTGGTGGATTGCTCTCCTAAGTAGATGTCTATATGTGTTAATATGTCATTGGTCTCACAGGTGAAACAGAGTCCCGAAATAGCTTGACTTTGGGAAGATTTTAGATATCAAAACCAGAGATTCCATCAGCGGGATTTTGTTGAATCAGGACAAAGCTTTAAAACGGGTCGAGTCCTTGATATGGAGGTCCTTACTAAATCAGCTTGAACGGCGACACAAGATGTTTTGCAAGGCTATATATGAAGTTCGTCGTAATCTGATACTCCAAAAAAATGTGAGCTGATGGTTCCCTACGTTAGAACGCTAATGTTACACCTGTTTTTGCCATATACTTTACTCCCCCGCTCCTCATACGGAAAGTGTCAGATTAAAATCGACGGACAATAGGTTAGTTACCCAAAGATGCACTCAATATTGGTCTTAGCGGTATATATATTTTGTGGATTTTTAGTAGGGCCATAGAACCGTTGTGCTACTCCAGTTTTGTTGATATTTTTCAGAAATGTTTCTAATAGGGTGGATGACTTGATCGATTTGTTCGTGATAGTCTGGCTTGCGCAATATTAGCTTTAGCTTATTTGATAGATCAAGAAGTTCTTGAATTTTTCGTTTGTAATCTTCAGGTTTCATACCGACGGCGGTATTACGGTATTACCTACCCTTGTCAGCCGGTAGAATAATAAAATACTTGACTGTGTTCAGGTTTTCCAATGTACCTCTTCCTCATAAACGTAACTGGTGGGTGGTCGTGCTTTTGGTAGAATTTTCGTTTTCTCAATCCGGATTTCTTCTACGTGATCCTCCGGTAGATCCCTGAGAGCTGCCATGCTGGGTAAAATTTCATTTTGGAACGGTTATTTTTTCCTTTGTCAGACTTCGATCCGTGATATTAATGAATACCTTGGTATTGTGAAGGACTGCGCAACTCCGAACCTGTTTTCTTTTTTCTGAGGCTTGTTATATTTCGAGAACCTGTTCTTTCTTGTTTGATCTAGCTCGTATCTCATGTTTCAGTGTAAAATTAAAGGTATTTCGTCTTAATCCCGTGGTTGTTGCTAAGCTTCAGATGTAGATTGAGTAGTTCTTTCTGCCAGATATCCTTCTTTGTCCTATGAATTTGTTCTTGGAGAAATGCTTCCTTAGTTCTGGAGTAGATCCGATTAGCTTGAGGTGTAATTTCATTTCTACTGATTTCTGTGTTTTTTTCTAGGTAACCAGTACCAATATCAAAACCAAAACTGGCAGCCTCTCCAGGACAATTACGCCGGTTACCATCAATGGACCAGCTATTAAGTTATGTTCGTGTTTAATTGATTGTTGGCTATTTTTAGATAATAAGTGACTGTTCTTATTAAAGGCAGAAAACTATTTGTTTCGCCTCTTATCCCATGCGAGTTGGGCATTTTTGCTTTTATTTATATAGTTATGCGGATTTATATTTGACAGTTTTTGTCGGATCGCAATTGAATCATCATATCAAGTAATATCTAATAATGTAGGATTTCAGTCATTAGGTATTTTTACTATTGATTATATTATAAACATTGTAAAATAATATACTTATAAATATTGTGAACCAATAAAGATGCTTTGTAAGTTAAGGTGTGGTATAATTTTTGTGTAAACTTAATTTACTAGTGAGTTTTTATCTCCCTAATGGCCGGTTTATTCATCTTCTGATAAACTGTCAGGTTTGCAACTCTACGTTATTATTAATTCGTTCGTTTTTGCTTGAAATTTAATATTTTTTTTAAAGGTTTTCTATTTCTATAGATTGTAAGAGTAAGGTTGACAAAAATATATTTATAAAATATTTTCTAGTTCCGTTTATTGAAAGATTTCGACATCAAATGGATTTCTATTTGAAAGTTTGTCAATGGATACGCTTTTGTCATTTTTAAATCGAAGTCCTGTCGCTACAGTCGATTTGATAAAATATAGTTTTGTCAAAGGCTTGATTTTAGGTAGAATAAAAAAAAAATTGATAAGGAGGAACAGCTCAATGAATAAAAAAAAATTATGATAAATGGTTTTTTTAAAACCTTGTTTGTGGACATTATGCATTTTTTTTTTCTTTGAAAAGCCAAGAAATTATTCGAAACATACATATCTATTTGTTGCCACATTTAATTGCTATCAATGGAGAAAGAAGAGTTATATTGTAAGACCCTATGTTATCTTTATACTAATAATTCTCCTTTCCTATGATAATTATAAGCGTACGCCTATGTTAATACTAATAAATATATAAAACTGCTTAATCAGCGCTACTGCACTGGTAGTACCACCATCTGCCTAGGAAAATGCTTGGATCAGCAAATATTTATTATTTAAGCCAGCGCTTTCCAGTAAGGAGCGTTCATTTGTTTTCAGGCACTCCCTGTAGCAATTTGATACACATATTTTCCGATTGTCACTATTGTATTTTAATTAATAAAATAAATGTTTTTTAAAAATACAAGTTTCTGAATCGAAAATATAATTGGCGCAGTTCGGTACAGATGTTCTTCAGAGTGCTATAGAGTCCAGAGATTGAATTTTCGAAAAGGTTTAATCCAATTCGTTCCACTTTTTGAAAAAATTTACTGAAGAAAAGAAGCAACAAGATCCAACATACAAAGTTAAAGTGTTACAGTTACCAATCATAGTGCATTGTAAGTAATCCCTTTTCCTATAAATTGAATTTTGTAATTGGTGTTTCATAATTAAAAAAAAAAATACATGTCAGATTCTGAAGAGGAAATACAGAACCTCTTAACCCAATTTAACTTAACTCATTTATATAATAATCCAAGTACTAATAATTCGTTAAGAAATAATAATCATCAACCAAGAACCATGGGTGATAATTTGAAATCTATTGTACAATTACTTAAGCCTTTTGGTGGCGAAAAACAATACTTAGAATATTTTATTAGTAATATCGATGAATTTTATACTACATATTATACTGGCGAAAATGCACAGAAAGAATATGTTATACCAGCGATTAAATCAAAATTAATCAATGAAGCAGGAAACTTCCTTATGTCACGTCCTGACTTAAAAACATGGATTGATATAAAGAACGCTTTAAGCTTAAAATATGGAGACCCATATTCTAGACAAAAATTAGTACAAGAATTAATGTATACTACTCGAAATATTAAAGAGAATATTTTTGATTATTTAGAGAGATTAAAAAGTTTAAATCATAGAATTAATTCTAAGATAATGAGTGATCAAAATTTAGTTGCAGTCGCAAATGTTTTGGTAGACCAAAATGAAATAATGGCAATCCAAAATCTAGTCACAAACTCTCCTGTTGAATTAAGAACAATTTTAATGGTGCAAAATCCACTAACTTTAGATGCAGCTACAGGTTGCGTATTAAATTATTTTATATATATACAGAGTGGTCCATTGAAAAGTATCCACCTAGATTTACCGGTTTTTGTGAAATTTAAGAAAAAAATGCTCGGACACGTGTATTTTGTTTCGGAGGGGGAAATATTCTCTGCATATTTTTAGCCCTGTAACCTTCAACCCCTAACGGGGGTGGGCTCCAACCCCTTAATCTTTAATGGAACGATGGGTCGAATGATAGCTCGATTGAAAGGGCACGAAATTAGCTTTCCAATGGTGCCCTGTTTGTCGGATTTTACTTCGACAGTTAATGCGAAAACGACGCTAAGAGCCTCACCCCTGTATTTTTGGAATCAATAAAACAAAGGACTTACATTTCACTTATTTCGAGACAAAATAACTAGTAACAATATTTATTTGATGAATTCTCTTTATTAGCTTTCAATCATGGTCAGTTATTTAAGAATACGATGTTCTCGAAAACATAAACTGTTAATTTTTTTAGTATAACGTTGATTTAACAAGTTTTGATAATGTGACCCATTTACTTCCATACAATAATATAAATTTTGTTCAAATCTGTTTCGGACATTTTGCAGCACATCAGGTGTTATGCTTCTGCACTCAGCTATTATTCGCTGGCGAAGATCTTCTATAGAATCGGGTTGCGTGGCAAAACATTTATTTTTCAAGTGTCCCCACAAAGATAGTCTAAAGGCGATAAATCGGGTGACCTGGCAGGCCATTCAATTGCGCCTCTTCTTCCAATCCACCGTCCAGGGAAACGTAAATTTAAAAAATCTCTAACAGCAGCAACGTAATGCGGAGGCGCTCCATCTTGTTGGAAATGAAGCCGATCAACATTATGATTTAGGTCATCTTCTATTATTTCTGTTATCAAAGGGTCAATTGCATCCTCAAGCATGTTTAGGTACACTTCGCCAGTTAAATTACCAGGGATAAAAAGTGGTCCTACAATATGATTTCCTAAGATGCCACACCACACGTTTATTTTTTCAGGGTGTTGGGTATGGGCCTCACGGAATAAATGTGGGTTACTATCATCCCAGTAACGGCAATTATGTCTATTGAATGTACCATTTAAATAAAATGTACACTCATCAGAGAAGCAAATGTTAAATAATAAGTCCGGTTCTTGCATTAAACGCTGACTCATTTCTTCACAAAACTGCATCCTTCTATCAGGATCATCCTCATTAAGTTCCTGTACTAATCTAGTTTTGTATGGATGAAATTTGTGCACTTTTAAAATCCTTAATAGGGACGAACGGGGGACACCTGAGACTTGAGCCAGTTGATGGGTACTTTGGGTATGATCCAATGCCACATGTCCCAAAACAGCTACTTCCACAGCTTCATTTCTGTTGTGTTGCGGCTGGCGTTTCACATTAGCAACAGATCCAGTATCGGTAAACTTTTGCACTAATTTCGCCACATACGAATGATTGACATTTTCGTTGGGATGAGCGTCATTAAATAAACGAGCAGTAAGCCTAGCACAACTATTATTTTGAAAATAAAGCTTGATAATTTCTACTCGTTCTGCAATGGAATGAATCATTTTTGTCAGTAAAATTTAGATCGTCTCGAAATTAACCAAACTAAATCAATGAACGGAATAAACCTAAATTCTCTTCCTTCATTTACCAAGTGTGTATCTGCTTACTTATTTTTACAAAAAAAAACGCACACAATAAATGAATGCATTTTATTCTGATAAAAGATAACAAAACATTTACCTATTTTGTCGTGTTCGGCTTTTTGTATTAAAATAGGGCGGATATTTTTTGGCGTTGAAACAATGAGTTTTTACTTAAATAAGTAATTTGAATTATGATTGTAGCTCTTTTGAATCGCGATAACTGAAATTTAAGTCCTTCATTTTATTGATTCCAAAAATACAGTGAGGCTCTTAGCGTCGTTTTCGCGTTAACTGTCGAAGGAAAATCCGACAAACAGGGTACCATTGGAAAGCTAATTTCTTGCCCTTTCAAACGAGCTATCACTCGACCCATCTTTCCATTAAAGATTAAGGGGTTGGAGCCCACCCCCGTTAGGGGTTGAAAGTGACAGGGCTAAAAATATGCAGAGAATATTTCCCCCTCCGAAACAAAATACACGTGTCCGAGCATTTTTTTCTTAAAATTCACAAAAACCGGTAAATCTAGGTGGATACTTTTCAATGGACCACTCTGTATATTAAAATTTTGAAGAAGAAATTGACTTTTCCTCTGGTGAAAACCAAGAAAATCAAAGTGAATATGAATATCAAGATTTTGAAAATCCTGATGAACAACAAATTGATGAATCCGAAAATTTTTGTTTAAAAGCGTCGGATCAGCATTAACTTTAAATGAATTCCAAATTAATCAATTATTTACCTTTTATAGAAATTCAATTTCCACCTTGTAAATTATTAATTGATACCGGAAGTCATGCCTCACTAATTTAATTAATAAAATAAATGTTTTTTAAAAATACAAGTTTCTGAATCGAAAATATAATTGAAGTGTTATCACATAGGTAATCATAATATACAACAAAGATTATTTTTCATAATATTTACAGTAAATTATACTATTTTCAATACTTTCTCACTACCTACATCATTTCTTATTTTTAAAAAATGACGCATAAATATAAATAATTATGATAAATACATTGTGATGGATGAGGGAGTCGTTATATTCGTAAGTTAGAATTATAATATTGATATAGTTTTATGAAGTTTTTTTTTGTATTATTGGAGTGATACGAACTGTTGTGATAGAGATAGGAATTCAATTCTTGTACGTTTGTCTCATGTGAAGTTTGAGTCCCGATGACGAGACGACAAAAAAGGTTTCAATACTGATCTACGTAACATTAATTGGGGTCTAATATTGGATACCGAAGGCCTAGACGATAAAGTTTCTATACTCAGCGATTGTATCTTGCAATTATTAGACATGCACGCTCCTAAACGAACAGTCCGAGTGACGCGACCCAAGTCCCCTTGGTTCACTGATGTTCTGAAAATTATGAAAAATCATCGCAATAAATTATTTTCTAAATTTAAAAAATCAAAAAAAACCCGAAGATTGGGATGCATATAAAGAAATGCGCAACATGTTTACACAAGCAACACGTAACGAAAAAAAAGCATATCTCAATTTTGTAAGTAGAAAAAAAAAATAGTAAATTATTGTGGCAAACAATGAATGATATGAATGTTTATAATAAAAGGTCAAATAAT